CTGGTGACTTACCTTACTATCTCTCTCTTTCATCTCCTTCCACCTCTCTCTGAAGTTTGTGGTTACTCTCTTACTGTCTTATCGACATGGCAGTGAAGAGCTTTCTTTCTCTATCTCACTCTTTTTTTCTTCCTTGAGCACTCTTCTTAGCAACTCTGTTCTTTCTCTCTCTAGATTTGAGAACAACTGGTGACTTACCTTACTATCTCTCTCTTTCATCTCCTTCCACCTCTCTCTGGCAGTCAAGACCTCTCTGTCCTTCCGCATGTTTTTTGACTCCCCTTTCTCTCTCTACCTTGCTCCTCTCTCTCTCTCTAGAAGTTCATCTGTCTCTCTCTACCTTGCTCCTCTTCTCACTCTCTAGAGGTTCATCTTTCTCTCTCTAGCTTGCTCCTCTGCCGTTATCTCTCTAGAGAGGTTCATTTTCTCTCTCTACCTTCCTCTGCTTTTTCTCTCTAGAGAGGTTTCTCTTTCTCTCTCTACTTTGCTCCTCTTCTCTCTCTCTAGACAGGTTTATATTTCTCTCTCTACCTTCCTCTGCTTTTTCTCTCTAAAGAGGTTTCTCTTTCTCTCTCTACTTTGCTCCTCTTCTCTCTCTCTAGACAGGTTCATATTTCTCTCTCTAGCACATACTCTTACATCAGGCCTGTCAAAACAATAACGAACAAAACAGCAACGAATAGCGAGCGCACCACGTGTCATAAAGCGACTGACCCACGTGGCTGGACGATCAACTTCTTCATCGCCCCTGCGCAATCGCCGTCGGAAGTTGACCGTCTTGCCACGTGGCGTTATCTCCGAAGCCGAAACCCTCTTTTTTTTGGCTTTTTATCTTTTCCAATTTTAACCCGGCATTCTCTGTGTTGTATGAATCTATCCGAAAGGGTAAAGCCGTAAAGCTTCTCTCTCTTCACGCGTGACGCCAGTGGTTTTCAACTTCCTTTGACCAGCGATGACCACTAAAACGAAGAGAGAGAAAATGAAAGTTTAAACAAGGATAATGCAAATTAAAGATGAAGAGAGAGAAAATGAAAATTTAAACAAGGGTAATGCAAATTAAAAATGAAAAGAGAGAAATCAAAAGAATGAAAATCAAGGGCCTTTATCGTTTAATTAAGGTGGCGCAAATTTTGTTTTTTAATTCTCTCCTCTCCTGGTTCAATTAGGACTCCCTCTCCCCCTAATTACTCCTTGTCCAATTAGGACTACCTCTCTGTATATATAAATAGGACAATGGCATTACGAGACCCTATCATATTTATATGTGTAGGACTCAAATCATCATTAAATTTAATACAGATTTCTAAAAAAAAGTCAAATCCCACACCTATGTGATAATTTTTTTTAAAGATCTCTACCAAATTTAATAATGATCTTTTGGAGTCTCCTACATACATGGGTGTGAAAAATCATTACTGATATAAATATTCACATCTTGAATTATTTTTCTCTCTCTTGATTTTATCCCTCTCCCCCTAATTACTCATTATCCAATTAGGACTACCTCAACATATATAAATATACACATCTTGATTTTATTTTCTTTCTCTAGATTTTTAAGAGAGAGGATCTTGATTTATTTTCTCTTTCTTGATTTTATCATTTACAACCCATTTTTAGTTGCTTATCTCCTTTCCTCCTCCTCCTCCTCCTCCTCCTCCTCCCAATAGTTACTTCTCATTAAACCTTCATTATTTTTCTTTCTTCTCTCTTTTTTTCTACATAGTTTATTCTTTCTAAACTTTGTAGGTTTAGTCTTGTTATTTTCCTTTTAACTTTTAGAAATCTTCTAATGGAGGAGCAAAGAGAAGAGATAGAAATTACGAATGAAGATGTGATTTCCAATCGGGTTTCGGTTTCGTCCTACAGATACAGAGCTATGTGTGCACTAATTCAAGAATATGCTCAATTCTGGCTTTACCAATAAACATGTTGGGTTTGGTCATCAGTAAATCACCACGTCTATATTTTCTTCTAAATATTAGGGTATTATGAGAAATAAAAAATTGAATTTTTTGGAAAGCAAGAAAATGATATCTTTATAAGAGAGTGAAAGGAGGACATGATACCCATCCTTTGAGGGTCACCCCTTTGCGAGTTATGGGAATGGATCTCCAATATGGAGATGGGTCTCCAAGAGAGCGACATGGCTTCCAAGAGAGAGGCGATATTCCCATGAATTTTGGGTTGGTTAACTTTCACTTCTAGAGACAAAAGGTTTCTCTGTTGCTCTTAAGGTTATCTTTCTGACAGCGGTATTACGGTGCAAAAGGTTTCTTTGTTGCTCTTAAGGATGTTGCTCGGTCGGGAGAGCGGCTTTAGAAGGGAAGATTAGTGATAGTCTTTTACCGATGTTTAGAGATAGGTATTATCTTTTATAACCCAAAACTATGATCTTCATTGTGATAATGAATTTCTAGTTGCCGAGGCCGTAGATGTAGCCCTATGAGGTGAACCACGTAAATCTTATATTGTTGTGGTGTGCCTTTTTGTGTTTGTTTTATTTCTTACATTTGATTTATAGTTGTATTCATCTACTTCACATTTAGCCAATCATGTACACAATCTTGGGTGGGATCTCAGTGTTTGGGATTCTCGGTTCCGCAAGCTAAGGATTTCTCAAGAACCCTACAATTGGTATCAGAGCACAAGGTGTGTACGAGGCTAATGTTTATATTACAAAAACGAAGAATGACAAAGTTTTATGGATACATGGTTTGAGGTGGAGAAATATGAAGGTGAAGTGTCTTTGAAAAATCCACATTGGAGGCAAGTGAAAATAAATAAAAAAATATCCATGGTTTGAGGTGAAGAAATATGAAGGTAAAATGTTTGTGAAAATTTTACAATGGAGGCAAGTGAGAAGAAATAAAAAAATATCTATGGTTTGAGGTGGACATATATGAAGACAAAGTGTTTGTAAAAATTTCACAATGGAGGCAAGTATAAAGAAATCTATCCAATGTTGTCAAGGCAATTATGGTGATTTTGCAATCAAGATGGAAATTGTTGGGTTTGGTGATAGTTAAATCATCATGCCTATATTTTCTTCTAAAGATTAGAGTATTATGGGAAATAAAAAATTAACTTTATTGATACGCAAGAAAATGATATGTTTATAAGAGAGATAAAGATGACATAATACACATCCTTTAAAGGTCACCCCTTTGGGGGTTATGGGAATGGATCTCCAATATGGAGATAGATATCCAAGAGAGAGAGAGACATGTCTCCGAGATAGAGAGGCAATATTCCCATGAGTTTTGGGTTGGTCAACTTTCACTTACCAAGAGAGAAAGTCTATCGGTTGCACTCAATGTTATCTTTTCGGTAGCGGTATTATGGTGGGAAAAGGGAAGTTGATCAACGGTGTTGCTCGGTCTGGAGAGCAGGTTTAGAAGGAAAGATCTGTAATGGTATTTTTTAGAAATAGGTATTATCTCTTGTAACATATTCATCATGGTAGAGAATTTCTAGTTGCTGATGCCTTGGATGTAGCCCTACGGGCCTTTTTGTGTTTGCTTTATTTCTCACAGTCGATTTATAATTGTATTCATCTACTTCATATTTAACCAATCATGTATACGATTTTGGGTGAGATCCCAGTGTTTGAGATTCCCAGTTTCGCAAGCGAATGGGTTATCAAGATCCCTACAAAACATAATCTCAAAACTCAATGTTTATCACTACAAGCCTTGGATCTTCAAGGTAGATTACAATGAACTATTTTCTAGCTATTTCTGATAAAAATAAGGTAAATATTACTTTAGAAATCATGTTACATAAATCTTTACGAAAAGATTCGCAAAGATTTATGTCTCATATCGAAATTCTTTGTTTCTGACAGGAGAGAGCAATGGCAAGTATGGAAAATACCATTTCTTCACTTCGAGAGAGAAAAGAGAGCAATGGCAAGTATGGAAAATACCATTTCTTCACTTCGAGAGAGAAAAGATGCAATAATGGGATTCGACCAAAACGATGAGCTCCGAGCGGACATTGGAAGGCCAATGATGGCTATTCCGAATAGCCAGCGATCCCGCAAAAGAAAGAGGAACAGGAAAATATATACCCTAGTGGTGTATAAGAAGTGCACCATACTCTAATCGTCTGTGCTACACAATATATTACCATTATGATTTATTGCTTATAAATCATGATTGACATATCGGGGGCGACCAACAACAAGGTAATTCCAATTTTAATAGTGATTGGGTTGGATTATATAAATAAAATTGTTTACTTTTGATTTTTTGATTTAAGAAAGTAACCTTTGAGGCTTTTGCTCCTCAAAAAAAAGGAGCACTTTGAAGTTACTTTTTCAATTTTATGTTTTCTA